AAAGTCATTTATACGGGATGTATTCACCCTATTACGTTTAAGGTGATGAAGAACTGATTGTTGAATTTTCCCACAATAATACGAGTAGATCTGACGTTTTCGTTATATTTCACATTCTGGCTTTCCCAAAACCCAACTTCTAAACGAATAATAATTAATGTAGTCGATGATCATAACAAACATAAATTTGCTTCATTTACAATCCCACCAAAGAATATGATGTGGGAAATGCCTGTTCCTTCTTGAAATTCATTTCTGTCCTTTGACTCGAGAGCACTCATGGTAATGTGGCGTAGTGGTTAACGTGTCGAGATTGCACGCTGCACTATCATGGTTCAAATCCCGCTGGGGGTATTGATAAGACCTAGGATGAGAATATCTTTTGAAAAAGCAAGGGTCCGTGAAATTCAATGGAAACATCAGCTCTGCTCATATCATTGTGGGATAATTCAATTGCCAGTCCTTCATCACCTTAAACGGAATAGGCTGAATAAATCTCATATAACTGACTTACTAGTAGCCTCGAAACTACTTATAATTGACAATACTTGTCCTGCAACTCATTAGCGATAGGGCCGTACTATCTAACGGCAACGTTTGCATCTGAGTTCGAGTTCAATTGAAGAGACGAAAATTGACTCCTGAATTAAAGGCAATATTTGAGAGGAATTGCCAAAATCTATTCCCCTTTATTCCTTTGTAAGCAATCCTAAAACATAGGTGAATCCCATAAGTAAAATTGTTCCTTACGTAGAGAAATAATGAGCTCTTCTCAAATGAGCCCACGACTCCTAACTCTCAGATTATTACTAAAGAAATAGTTTAAACAACCTGGGACTAGTATAGTATAAATTTGCCTATACCATATGATAGTTTAAATCGGGTCACATGAGATACTAGCAGATAGCACCAACTTCCAGATCTGGTTCCGAAAAAATTGCGTAGCTAGTCACATAGAATTTGTATGAAAATCCAAGCCGCCATTAACTCTTCCAATAACCTATCATCTCTTGTGAAACACTCAATGTGTCGACAATCGGCATAATCATATATAAGTTGCTCCGCTTTCTTGTTGCTTTGTGCAAATTGACAAAATAATTTGCCTCAAGCCCGAATTAGTTCAGAATTACTATGGTATTAAGGACATTGTACACAAGACAGGGCACAAACACATAATATCAAATCTCTGTCTCTTCAATTTAAGGGTCCCATGTGTGCCAACCCCTAAATGTTGTGGCAATTCGCCTGGCTTGACTGAGCTCATTGTAGGCGGTTTCTCGTGGATTCTGAATGTCTCACGAGGGCATTTTCCTTGCGACTCCTTTTTTTCCTATTCAAACTACATCATTGATATAATAGTCTTCTTGGTGCTGATCTCAATGTACCTTGATCTCATCTGAAAACAGTTTTGTCTTCTACGTCGTGGTTAACTGGATATTCCGTATTCTTAATATCGATCGCAGTCTTGATTCAGCTCCCAGGAAAACATACATATCCACTTTTAGTCATTTCTCATTCCTAATTTCCTCTCTATAATATCGATGCTGCAATCATCTCTTCAAAGCACTCATATTTGTTTGTATGTCGCTATGGAGTATCAATTAATAACGCTAATATCCTTCATGTAGTTGCTTTTTTTCTTCTAATTTTTTATCTAACCCAACATTATTTCGACCTTTAGTCTGCCAAAATAGGATTATTACCGTGTGTGGGTTATTTCTAGAGTCGCCTCTTAAATGTAACGTTGGATCTAATGACCTCAAATATAAGAACTTAGGTTATCTATCCTTTTTAATCTCAATAGTGGATTTGATTCCTTCATCAAGATGGTTCATAAAGTCCATTAATTCGTCTACGTTTTCTCAACCAGAAGACAAAAATGCAAAGTATTCATCCAGCTATCGCATGAGCATCCTTGGTGCAGCTTAGGTAAAATAGTGCACGTCACAAACCTTATATGTTGGCTTAATGGAGAAAAGTTTGATTATTGTGCGGAACTGATAATGATAAAGAAATTCATAGGTCAATATAAGCATAGTCTCGGTCATCATTTTTGGGTAAAAACGACTTAAGAGTTAGTTGACCACATTTTCAGACGAGATAGACAGCTCTAAAATTATGATGGAAGATAGTCATAAATTAGCCGCGGCAAAAACTGAAGGAAAATTGCCTCGGAGTTGTGCGTATGAGACCTCATCAGACTGTTCCGTGACCCATATGATTATTTGCTGAGCTCTCGTCTGTCTTGCTGTGGCAGATATTGCCAGAAAGTATAACTAACGAAAAAATTCACCAAAATGAACCCAAGAAAGGCAGATACACAACCCAATTTCGACTTCAGTTGGAAATGTTGATGAAACCCAGGCTAGGGCAAAACTGAAGTCCCATTCAGCCTGGACGAGAATAACTCTTTCGAGGCAAGGCAAAATGAATTTTAATAGCATCTTGCAACTTATTCATGCCATTAAAGGAAAATTCAACTCAGTTCTTCATCACTTTATGCGACCAAGAGTGAATACAAATGCAAAAGATTTATTGAAAGTAAGTCAAACCCCGTTTTTACATAGAAGCTAAGATAGGCCTAAAATCCATATTATAAAATCCCATATTGAATCAGAGAAAGCCGATTATAAAGTGATTTAAGGAAATTGCCCCCTAATCGGATACCCAGGCTTCATGGTGAAACATTAGGCCAAATAAAGATATTTTTCACTGGAGGTGGAAACAGCTTGTTTCAGAGAAATACATAATTTATTCAGTGTTATCCAAAAATTCTTTGTACGATGCAGCAAAATTCAATAAAGGTACTTATTACCATAAGACTTGGTCGGAGTAAAGGCTTAAATAAGAGACTATAATTTCTGAATTTTAGAGAAACACTAAGAAAGAAAGTTTAAACGAATGCGTTATTAAATTAGATAAAAGGGAATGAAACTTTATTAATAGATGCTGGGATCCAGTTAACAAGACTTGCGCTTGTGACATAGGTCAGTATTAAAACTAAGGTTGAAACCCGAGAATTACTTACCTCTAGAAGCCTCCACAATAATATGATTTATTGTCTCTCTGTCGAGGCCCTCCATGCCGGCCTTGTTTGAGCTGAACTTGGAGCATGCAGCAGCAGTAGTATTGACCTGTGACGCTGAGATAGGGGCTCCGGAACTGGATGCTTGTACTTCAGACATTTTTCAACCTTAAATCCCACATATAAGCAGTAAATTGATCAGGGCAGTGCCAAAATAAAAGAATAAATGAGCACTCGGGCCTAGTCGCCAGCACTTAGATACTAACTTGGAACTGATTATTCATGAGAGATGATGATCCGGCTCTTGTGGCTAATTTTTCGTTTGTAAGTAGGTAATTAAGTAGACATATCTCACATGTGTTGTCGCTAGGCCTAACCGATTTACGTGAATTAAGTGAAGATCTGGAATTTCAATTGAACTCTACGCAAAATGATGTACCAAACGCATCATAGGGTGGTAGATTATCTTTTTTTCATCTGCTTATACAAGAGAAAATATCATTAGGATGGAAATAATATACCTTTGAAATGGATAGGATCGAAACATATACATGTAACAGATAGGTACAGCTGCGGATGATTAGTACCAAAAAATGAGGCATAATTTGCATCTAGGAAAACAAAGCAGTGGATCTCAGTTTGATCTCAACGTAAATTGGCTTTATTGACCTGGCTCTATCCGTGACGAGTGGTGATCAGTGCTTTGTATAGTTCTTCGCCGGGATGATGCCTACCAAGCCATGGCGATGTCAAATTAAAAACAGACCTCGTCAAAGATCCGATGAAAAATAGCTCACGAATGCAATGAAAAGGATCACACTAATTGCCGCGCAAACGAGCATTGACAAAGACAATAAAACACTTCCCAGTAAAAGGGCCAAAGCATATTAGTCTTGGATAAAAAAAACATTAGAGCCACCAGTAGTGGATAATTTGGATAAACAATTCGAACGGTATGACAGCACAAATAAATACAAGGGATATCGCTTTTAGTTTGTAACACCGGCCTAATAAATTACATGAGTATCATACTTTGCTCTATGCCAGGCCGATATATCCATATTAATAGGCAGATGTGAACGGTAAAAATCCAACCAGTTCTTGTTAAACAAAAGGTAAAATAGATAAGAAGTCAAACAAAAGACCAAAAAGAAGAATAGTTAAAAAAATTTAATTAATGACTAATTCAGATCAAACAAATACATGTTTTTGCCTAGACTAGTCGCCAGACTCGCTCTGCGTGTCAGACTAGAAAGAAAGACCACAGGAAACAATAATCAAAGTGAAAAGATAACAGAATTAGGGGAAATTTACACAAGGAAGAAGTCAATTTTATGATTTTGTTATGGTCGAATTAGAGGGACAGACGGAATTATGCACTTGAAAGGCATATTAGGTAGAATTCATGAGCAAATTCAAAGTAGGAATGCTGACAAGCTAGTGACAAGATAGGAATCACTTGGTGAGCCTGTAATATTCGATTGTTTTTAAGAATAAAAGAATATTCAAATGCAATATTTAAAAGATGGCGATTGAGAAGACATTGACACTTAAAAAAGTCTATCATGTTACTGACCCTCTTCTTTGACAAAGAAAAACGTGGACCTTCAATAATCGTTAGTCAATCTTCTGACCAGTCATAAGTAATACTAAGTGTATGTGATTCATGTCGCATATTTGGATGTTCAGCCAGCTTGTCCGTGAGGTTGGGTAGATCTGCGACCCTGTTGCCACCTATTGCAAGAGTCTGCAGTTGTGGGCAGTGCAAAGCAGGTTCTATGGAATCAAAGTCTACAAGGCTATTACGACGGACAGCGAGTAGTTGAAGAGAAGGGAGACCGCCTACGCCCAGAAGTGAAGAAAGACGATTATCGTCAAGATGTAGACTTTTGAGGCAGACTAAGTATGGCATAGTATCAGGAAGGCAGTCAATTGAATTTCCCGAAAAATCAAGATGAGTCATCAGAGCAAACCAATCCAAATAATAAAAGCGAGTCAGAGAAGAGTTACTTAGGTTTACATGCCTAGAATGCGACTCTAGATTTTTAACAATAGCATCCTCAGTGCCATAAGTGCTGGAAAGATCCTCATAGTATCGTTTACGCTGAGAATCTATACGGGACAATGTTTTAAGAGCTTGTTTGACTTCTATGTCTGACTCTGGAGGGTTTACATAACGAAGTAGTGCCACAAGGCTCAATAAAGCCCATTTGTTCTCAGGTTCAAGTATAACAAGTTCTCTGACTGTATTAAGCTCATCCTTTAAAGAAGAAGGTTCGTGTACAGGAGATATAGAGGGATTAAAAAGCCGTAGTGGATCAAGATCGACATGTGTAAGTGATTCATTCTTGTGAGAATTCATAGAACACTCGAGGACAATGCCGTCATCATCAAAGTTATCTACGTCCTTGATACACAGTGAAACGTGAATACTAGGCTCAAACAAAGGTTCCTGTTGCATGATACTTGGCCTAGGGATAGATAACGCTTCGTGTGATATATCCAACCACCATAATGCGGAAACCTGACAAGGCATTACCGAATTCCAGCCACCAAGTTCATCAGGCTTGAATGACAAAACTGAGCCGGATGGAATAGTAACAGTGAGCTCTAGCTGCAATTCGTTCAGAGTGCTGATAAGTTTAGGAGAAGTGAACACAAGGATAATACGGCGAAGACAACGTGAAATATATATATCACGAAGATAAGATTTTCTCTCACCATGTCCAAGTAGCCAAGCGTAGTAAAGCCATGGACTCTGATCCTTAGGATCAGTAAATACGGCGTTATGCACAAGGTCTAATTCTTTTTCCAACAAAGAAGAATCATCGAAACCTCGGGAATGAAAAGCATTGGGTGTCATAGGTGGAGGGCTTATAGGCATAGATTGCACATTAATGAATGGTCTTGAGTCCAAAAGTCCAGTGCGATAATGCCAAGCAGAAAAATTGCTAAAATTATTTTCCAAACAGGTGTCAATGTAGGCTATTTCCTCGCTCTCTGAAATATTTCCATTTGATATTATGAAACGACGATAATCCCAACAATGAAAGTTTCGCTCATCAAGTTTAAGGGCCATATTACATGTCTTTAACTCAGCTTTCCAATCAGGATCTGGATGGTTTGTCATTAACCAAGAGCGGTAATGCCAGCTAGCGTAAGACTTGGGGTTTGAAAGAAGACATCGTGACGTCAACTCCAACTCTTTTGAAAAAAGTTCCTTTGAACTATCACGAGGTAAAATTTCCACAGATTTAAGAATAATTTCACGTCTATAATTCCACAAGGTTATAATATCCGGCGTTTTTTCTAGCACATTTGCAATTTTTGTCAGCAAACTTTCGTCATAGTCCCCTGAGGACCTTTGTGCAAAAATTCCATCAGTGGACAACTTGTATTCCTGCTGTTGTTTTTCCTGTTCTTCTCGTCTACTCCTTTCTTGTTCTTCAGTGTGTCTAACTTTAACGCGACCATGCATGTTTGGGGGGTAAAAATGAAAAGCCAAGTCAAAGCAAACGCCTCTAGCAGGATAACTACCTAGTGAGCTGACCTATGATATGCAATTCTTATCAGTTATCTCAAAACAAAATAAGTACCAGTAAATTTTATAAATAAAACTGATAAAACGAGTTTTATTTAGCTATTTTTATCTCTTTTAACTTTTGTGGTTGCAATTTAACTTTCTATGAATATCTTTTTTTTACCATATATAAAAGATATATGCCTAGTTCATAAACGGATTCAGAGTTAACTCTCGCTCTCCACTCATTTGACGGGGAAAAATTATTGTACTAAGTAATTAAACTCCTTCTATTTGTTCAAAAATTTTGTGCCTG